ACACTATATTGTGTGTTAAAAAGTGTTATTTGCATTCTGTCATCTAACATCGTGTGAGAATGAACAACCAATCATAACCTGCCCCATCCTGATACACGGAAATAGGTCAACTTGATGCTGACGTCCGGAGGATATCACAAGATATGAAAAGTGGACGGTGTCAAGGTGATACAGATATAAGTATTCCACAACAGATACAACAACAATAATAAAAACAGTTATTAGTTATTTTTCAAATGCCATTTTTCTAATTTAGTTTTAAAACAAACAAATTAATTAAAACACACCAGATTATTTTATTTTTCTCATTTTATTTTGAAACAGAAAAATAAACTATACACAGATTTCTGCCCTTTACTGCCATTCTGCTTGTATCTTGTGTTGTATGTACAACAATTGTTGCAGGATGCCTACACTTACAATAATACTGACTGTCACATGTTGTTCTTTATATTTAGTTTTTAAAATAAAATATTATTTTTAAACTTTTTGTGCTGTCTTCCTTATTTGTAATAGTTTCGAGCTTGCCGTAACCAATTGGGGGCTTGTCCGGGATCTGGACCTGGGACTTCTCATGCCTCAGAAAGGTTTCCAAAAATGGAACTAAAACTAAAAATATGAGTTTTGCTGAATCTTTTGAACATTTATTTAAATTATTTATTTATTTAAATTATTTATTTATTTATTTATTTATTTATTTATTTATTTATTTATTTATTTAAAAATCTTTGTCTCTTTACTGACAAACTTCATCATATTCGAGTCCAGTAAGAGATCCACGTTTACTATTTTTGTTACTTTGTCACCAGAGTTTTTGGAAACTGGAGTGTAGTTTTCCAATGTGAATCTGTGTACATACATCATCAGAAATAGGATTTTTTTCTGTTTAACAATCCACAGCCATCGTCTAACTCTCCTCTTTGAGATGTACCGCACGCATTCTAATAGGAGGCAGGTCAGTTTTGAAGTGGCAGGACAGAAAACCACATGCACTCTACAAAACTAAACTGATTTAATTCATGCAAACTGAGCCTGGACTTTATTCTACTGATATAAYAGAAGAACTTTGACTAAATGGTGACATATGTTGTTTTTAAATATAAATTTTGCATTAATGGCACCGTTACAAATTTGAGTTATGGGCACAGATATAAAACCACATCATCACAGATGCTGGTTTTAAATCTTTTGCTGATYGAAAGTAAATAATAATTTTGGCAAACAGAGGCTAGTGTTTTTTTTCCCTCAAAAGCAGACTGAAATGTTCACCAGTGGCCAATAACACAAGGATTGGTTTTCACAAAGTGCAGCTTCTTTTGGATCTCTTCTTGCAGACATCATAACAAAGTATAATTTCAAGCATTTTATTGGTTTCAGAAGCTTTTCTTCATAATATGTGTCTAAGAAGAGTCAGTATTTATGTTTGGACCTTTTCCCCCTAAAACCTCTCCATGTTTTCTTGGCATGCTGTCAATCAASCTCTGGTCCAAATCCTGACTGATGGTAACCCCTTCCTGAATTATCAATGCTAGAAGTTTAATCTTTAATCTGTGGGGTTTTAGTTTGCCCATCCACATCTTGGTGTCCTTGCGAGGCTCACACTCTCACCATGAAGAGCCGCCTGTGTCTCCACGCCATCTCCTCCATGCTGCCTCTTTACACAAGTTCTTTGACTACCTTTATAATATATATTTGACTATTTTTATGGGTTTGCTGAAATAGTTGTAAAGATGGTTGTATTTTCTAACAGCCTCGATCAGCTGCTCCTCTCTGTGGAGCATTTGAAGAGAAACAAGCCGTGGTAGGCACAGTTCCGCTAATTTGCGAATCCGCTAATAGCGGAACTAGCCTCTCGTTTAGTGGATCAGCCTTTTTGCTAACTTTAGAAGCTGTTTGCGGACTGATTAGCTTCTGCTAAATTAGGTTCCGCTGATTATAAGTCCAATAAAAAGTCACAAGTATTGAGCTGCTCATCTGCATAAACACGCCCACAAATTTCTGACAAATCAATACTTTGCCCATACCATTGCTTGAGAAAAATAGTGAAAGAAGGTTGTGAACAGAACTAATTCTCTGAAGTGGGCCAGAAAAAAGTGTAATATTTCTTATGCAACTATGTCAACAAGAACAAATATCTATTGAAGATTATAAACCAGACTTTAGGGTTCCATGATGCAGGAAAACGTTGGTCATCGGTGTTTTTCTTGGATGGCTAGGATAAGTTGCACCCAGAGGATATTTAAGCATCGTTCTTTATTCATGGATGAGAAGCATCTTAAACCAGAAATGGTCAGATGTCTTACTGTTTTCTACAGACTGGCTGGATTAAAATCGTAATACACACCTCGCTCCGAGTGGAATTTTTCACAGGTTTTCACTGCAACAAATAAGTTGCTCTTTGAGATTGGATCCCCCTAAAAATGAGAAAAAGAAAAGAAAGACAAAAACAGAGTGTGTACATAGTGCCAAGAAAAATACATATTTACAGTAAGTGTAGGCATCTGCAGATTGTTGAGGTTTATATTAGACATGTTGTGTTGCTCTACAGACACATAACCGCTTGTGTGCAACTTTAGAAGATAATTTTTTTGCCCTGACCCAAGGAAATGGAAATAAATGAAGCGGAATATAATATTAAAACCCAGGAAATCCACAAAGTACTTAAAGTTTCCCACAGGCAAAATCGGTTGTACTTGTACTTTGAGTTGTGATTAATAAATCACCCCCCCCCC